GGGTTTGAACCGCCAGCCTTCTGGTTAGCAGTCAAGTGCCTTAGTCACTATGCTACCAGAGCTCCCTTAGTTGATATAAATAGATTGAATTGTTTCACTGGTATTTATTGAGCACTTAACAGGCCCCAGACACAGTGCCAGTCATTTTACCTATGAGGAAATAGAGGTTTAGAGGGAGAGGAGTACCTGAGGTTGCCCTGGGATTGATTCAGTGCTCCTCCCACCTGCTTTTTGACTGGCAAATTGTTTATCAGCAGTTGAGAAATAAGACAAGTACACACGCAAACAATTAGTGCCCAAGATAAGTGCTAATGACCAAATGAAGCTTTGTAAGTGCTACAGAAGTTCTGAGGAAATTACCAGCAGACTGCAGATGTCAAAGAAGCCTTCATTCATTTATTCACTCACTTGTTCACTTATCAAATATTTCAGTATGTCTATGATATGATTCTTGGAAGAAAGGTCAGGCAATCTACTTCTGTAGTGATACTGCCTCGGAGACCCAAGGAGGGGTCGCTATGAGTTGGATCTGACTCGATGGCACATAACAACAACAACAACAACATGATATGGTTGGCCGTACAGGTGAAATGACAAATGGGACAAAACAGAGACACACATAAAGACAGACATTTATGGTGGAAGCCAGTGATGCTGTGTTAGGGAAAGCCGGGAAGAGCCATGGTGGCAGAGTGAGACACTAATCAATCTTGGTGGGCTAGGGGAGGCTTCCCTGAGGAAGAACAGGTGAAGTAAGTCCTGAAAGGACTGGTGAAGCTAGGTGAAGGAGATAGGGAAGGACCCTGAAGAATGGAATGGAGGGGGTCCCTCCAACATAAGCAAAGTTGTACAGGTAGGAAAGGCAGGAGGAGTCCTTCCCTCAGCGGACTGGGATTTCCAGAAGCTTTGGAGGGCTCTCTGGTAAGTCCAGCCATTCTTGTGCTCTGAGCCTATAAGCTGGTGTTTTCTGGCACGGTAATTATGGAGGCAGTGTCAGGAGTCAGGGCAATTAGAGCATCTGTGTCCTGTGAAGAGAAAGAACAAGGGATGCATTTGGCTGGGTGGGGCTGACCTAGAGCCACGCCCACCAGAGGCAGCCCTCTGTGCAAGAGCCTGCCTCCCTCCCAATATCCTCCACTCTCTTCCTGGCCTCCTCTCTTCCTATCCCTGCAGCCTGGGACTGCACCACCCTCAGTCCTGACACTCCTGCACGTATTACGTAGGAGACAGTCTGCCTTCTCAACCTTTTAAAACCCCTTTAGCTAAACATCCAAATCTCACCTCTCAACTTCCTTCGACCCTCCTCAATATTATATTGGAATTCCAAAATATATAATTTCTAAAACCAAATGAAAGGTATTACAAGATTGAGTATCCTTTTCAGGCTATGCCAGTCCCTCTTGGGATTCTGGTAGGCTCCTGGGAAGTGAACAGCATAGTCTGAGAATCACTGCTCAGATTTTCTTGCAAACCCCTGATTTATGTGATCCCATGGCCAGACCATGTGCCCTAATTTTTGGTTTAGAAATCAGAGCAGATTTTTCTTAAATTTATTTGGCAAGCAGAGCACCTTTAAACATGGTGTTCTCTGAGGAAACTTGTGAAAACTCACTGATAAATTTAATTCTCCCATAAAAATGAGAAACATAACGGAATACATAACAGTGTTACACATTTTTAGGGTGATGAACAAATGGTGAAGTGTTCAACTACTAGCTGAAATGTTGGCAGTTCAAATCTACCCAGAAAAGCCTCAGAAGACAGGCCTGGCAGTCTGCTTCTGAAAGGTCACAGCTTTGGAAAAAATCTTATGGAGCAGTTCTACTCTGCACACTCGGGGTCTCCATGAGTCCGGGTCAATTCATGACAACTAACAACATATTTTCAAGATTCTACATGTCAAGAATGGGCATAGAATATTTTAAGAAATCATGCTTTGCATGTTTGGTTAATAACTGTTGCTATCCATCCATTTATTTTTGTTTGTTTACTCTCTAGCAGACAAAATGTGGTAGGCATCAAAATTTCTTGTGGTTGTTAGAAGAAAAGGAAAATCTTCACAACTGGACCAATAAGAGACATCACGATAAAAGGAGAAAAGATTGAAGCTGTCGAGGATTTTATTTTACTAGGATCCACGATGAACACTCATGGAAGCAGCCATCAAGACATCAAATGACACATTGCATTGGGCAAATGTGTTGCAAAAGACTTCTTTAAAGTGTCAAGAGGCAAAGATGTCACTTTGAAGACTAAGGTGCACACAATCCAGGGCATAGTATTTCAGTTGCCTCATATGCACATGAAAACTAGACAATGAATAAGGAAGAGCTGATGCCTTTGAATTGTGATGTTGGTGAAGAACACTGAAAATACCATGGACTACCAGAAGAACAAACAAATCTATCCTGGACTAAATGCAGTCAGAATGCTCCTTGGAAGTGAGAATGGCCAGACTTCATTTCACATACTTTGGTCATGTTTTCAGAAGGGACTACTCCCTGGAGAAAGATATCAAGCTTGGTAAAGTAGAGGGTGAGCGCAAAAAAGGGGAAGACCTTCAACAAGATGGATTGACACAGTGGCTGCAACAATGGGCTCAAACATAGCAAGGATTGTGAGGAGGACGCAGGACTGGGCAGTGTTTCATTCTGTTGTGCATGGGGTTGCTATGAGTTGGAGCTGACTCAGTGGCACCTAACAACAACAGCAACAATCCATCTGTTTATTTACTCTCTAGCAGATAAAACGTGGAAAGCACCAAAGCTCGTTGTTGTTGAGTTGGTTCTGATTCATAGAGACCTTATGTATAAAAAACAAAACAAAGCATTACACCATTCTCACAATCATTGCCGTTTGAGCCCATTGTCTTAGCCACTGTGCCAATCCATCTCCTTGAGGGTCTTTCTCCTTTTTATTGACTCTCTACTTTACCTAGCACTGTGCCCTTCTCAGGGATTGGTCCCTCCTGTCTCACCATCCTCACTTCTAAGGAGTCTTCTGGCTGTCCTTCTTCCAAGACAGATTTGTTCATTCTTTTGGCAATCCATGATATATTCAATATTCTTACTAACAACATAATCCAAATGTATCAATTCTTCTTCAGTCTTTCTTTTTCATTACCCAGCTTTCACATCCTTATCAGAAGATTAAACAAACCATGGCTTGGGTCAGGCACATCTTAGTCATCAAAGTGACATCATTGCTTTTTAACATCTTAAAGAGGTCTTTTAAAGCAGATTTGTTCAATGCAATATATCATTTGATTTCTTGACTGCTGCCTCCATTGGCGTTGATTGTGGATCCAAGTGAAATGAAGTCTTTGACAACTTCAATCTTTTCTTCATTTATCATAATGTTGCTTATTGGTCCAGTTGTGAGAATTTCTGTTTTCTTTATGTTGTTGTTGTTGTTATGTGCTGTCGAGTCAAACCCAACTCATAGCGACCCCTCCTTGGGTTTCCGAGGCAGTATCACTACGGAAGTAGGATTGCCCAACCTTCCTTCTGAGGAGTGGCTGGTGAGGTTTGAACAGCCAGCCGTCTGGTTAGCAGGGAAGAGTCTTAGCCACTATGCTACCAGAGCTCCCTGTTTTCTTTATGTTGAGGTGTAATTCATACTGAAGGCAATCATCTTTGATTTTCATCAGTAAATGCTTCAAGTGCTCTTCACTTTCAGCCAGCAAGGTTGTGTCATCTGCATAGTGCAAGGTTTAGTGAGCCTTCTTCTGATTCAAAGCTTAAAGTCTAATTTATGGGAGAAGGATTTAACATTCATTCATTTGGTGAATGTGTGTTGAGTACTTAATATGTGTCAGGCACTGTTCCAGGTGTGGGATGTTGCAGTGAGCATAACAGACAATTGAGAACACTGCAAACATTCTACCCATCAACTAATTTTTTCCTCCTGCAAATTGGAGTTTGGTAGTTGAATAACCCAGTCCATCTAGAGACACCAGCCCTTTAGAGAGAGTTTAAAATTATACACAATACCACTTCCTAAATATTTCTGAGAGTGGGAGCAAGTTAGCAGCTGTCTGGTGGCCCACACCTCTAAGGGTGTGTATTGGGTGGATTGTTTCATCCTGGGATGAGTGAACATTTGGAAAGAGAGCCATGGCCTGTATAACCAGCAGGTGCCCTCCCTAGACCAGGCTGGAAACATCATTGAGACACCACGGGCATAATACCTGGACTTAACCTGCTGCTGTTTCTTGCTCTGGTAGAAAGGCATGAAAGAGGCTCAGCCAGGAGAGCAACTCTTGGAGGGCAAAGACCCACAACCCCCATGATCAGCTTGGCCCAGGGGAGTGTCTAAGGAATATGCATCCACCCACAGGGCAACCACTGAAATGAGAATGGCTTTGGGTCCTCTGGGAGCATGCTGAAAACTGGAGGGGACAAGATAAAATGATGACATTTATTGTCTGGGCAATTCCAAGGCCCTGGAGGATTTAGAACTACTCTGGGAGCAAGGAGGACAATGTATTCCTGTCCCTCCACCCCACCTCCCACCCCTTGCCACCAAAATTCCAGCCTTGTTCCCTAACTGATGTCTCAAGGTCTTTTTGCAGCTCACATTCACCCTGCCTGCCTCCCCATGCATGGACAGACCTTCAGTCTCAATGAGACCTGCTGGATCACAGGCTTTGGCAAGACCAAGGAGACAGATGGTGAGAGGCAGAGATCCTAGAGTGTGTGTCTGTGTGTGTGTGTGTGTGTGTATGCATGCACATGTATATGTATGCACATATATGTATGTGCAGAGTGTATAGGTATAGGGTGATGTGTTGTATACGTAGATGAAAGCTTGGGGATACAAGCCTTGTATATGTTCATACTTGTATATGTACATGGGCTTGGGTATGTGTGTGTGTGTGTGTGTGTGTGTGTGTATATATATATATTCACATATCCATGTATATGGCAAGGCAGTTAGTGTGACTGTACCCCCTAGCCAAGACCACCAGGAAAACACCTGTAGTTGAACAAGTTGGATTTATTCACGGAGAACCATGGACATCTCAATAAGAAGGTGTTAGAAAGGACTTATCAAAGGATTTGGGTGATTTGGACTTCAAAGGAATCAGTCTTTTTTTTCTGGATCAAATGCTGTCAGGAAGCAGAGGTAATTCTGATTGGTCTTCTTAATAATCTTAACAGGAAGGAGGTAAAAATAGACTGAGGCTAAAGCTGGAATTGGTAAAGAAGCAGCAGACACCCATATTGGCTTAGAGAAGAAGGGTATTTAGTTTGCACAGTGACCTTGTTTTTGTCTGTGCTTGAGCAAGATTATGAAGCAGTTTTATTTCTTTGTTTCTTCTTCTTGGCTTTTTCTCCTTTCTTCTTCTTCTTCTTTTATTTTTTTCCTTCACTGCATCATGATCACAGAGTGGTCTTGTTGGATGTCTATGCTCTGTGAGATTATTGTATATTTTTTGCAAATAATGCATCCATGTAAATAACACACCCACATAAATACCCAAATATAATGGAAGGAAATTAACATAGTGCACTTACTAAAATAACGTATTTGGGTGGGGGCAGTTGTGTGGTTGGCAAAAAAAAAAAAAGTTTAACACGTGCATTATTTGCATAAAAATGCAGTATTTCTGTTCAGCAGGGGAACACTATGGCCTGGCTGGGCTGCTGGCTATGAGTATAGGGCCAGCTCTGGGTGTCAGTCCTGGTGTTCTCAGGATCAATGGGGTGGAGTGATTATTGGCCTGGGAGAAGACCTTGTTCTGATCTTGACTCCATAACTGACTACTAGCAGACTATGAGCAAGACACTTTTTCAGCCCTAAGTTTCCTCATCTGTAAGTAGGTTAATTACAGCTGCCCTAATTAGGACATGTAATTATAAAATGAAATGAACTGATTTATCTGATGCTACCTTGAACATAGAAAAGCATTGTACAAAATGTAAGGTAGCCTGGGTTTGTCTGTTCATGTATGGTGACAATATACAGTGTATGCATCTATTCTGCCTGTAGTGAGTTTGTGTTTGGTGTGACAGTGTGTATGCTCATATGTCCTGGGCATCCAACACAGAGGACTCCCCTTGGGCCAGAGACCAGCCAAGAAAATGGTGCTCTCCTATCCCAGGAGTCTGAGCCCTGGGGTGAGCAGCTAAAAGACCATGACTGCCTGGTGTCTCATTCCCTTCCCATCCTTTCTTTCCTTCCCTCCTCTTCACTGAAGACAAGACATCCCCTTTCCTCCGGGAGGTGCAGGTCAACCTCATTGACTTCAAGAAATGCAATGACTACTTGGTCTATGACAGTTACCTTACTCCCAGGATGATGTGTGCAGGGGACCTTCGGGGAGGCAGAGACTCTTGCCAGGTAGGCTGCCTCTGAGTTGGTCAAGGGTCCTGGGACCCTGGGGAGTGTGCAAGTCTGGAGTGTTGGGGTTGGAGTGAGAATCAAGTGCCCTATCATCTCCTATACAAGGAACTCACCTCCCACCCTGCTGATGTTCTCATTGTCTCCTATAGGGAGATAGCGGGGGGCCTCTTGTCTGTGAGCAGAACAACCGCTGGTACCTGACAGGAGTCACCAGCTGGGGCACAGGCTGTGGCCAGAGAAACAAACCCGGTGTGTACACCAAAGTGACAGAAGTCCTCCCCTGGATCTACAGCAAAATGGAGGTGAGAGGCTTGCATGGGGCGTTCTACACCAAGTAGGCTGGGAACTCCCAAAGTTGGGGTGTCTAGAAGAGGAATGGACAGGCTTTCCCAGGGCCATAGGCAGAAGTATCTTCACCTACTCATACTCAGGAGTGTGCAGAAGGTACAGAAGACCAGGACAGAAAAAAAAAAAAAAAAAAAAGTCAAATGCTAGGCCTATTGCCAGTCTCAGCAACCTTTGTTTCTTTCTCTCTTTAGGACAGAGCTGAAAAAAGGGTGGCCTAGGCCTTGAAGCTGGCTCTAATACCTTTCCTCTCCTCAGTGAGGCCAAGTTGTGAGTTCACACAGGTCACTGACGGTGGGAGGTGGTAGGAGATCTCCTCATTGGCAGGAAGCTGATCTAGTGGAGAACCAGCATCAGCACTCTCTGCTGACCTAGTTTAGCTCAAGCCTTCCCTGGGCCTGCTATCTTTTAGCTGTAAAACAGCTATGCCCAGTTCTTCCTTTCTTTGCCAGGGATAAGGGCAGAACAGCAGAGAGGTCAGATGGGGGAGAAGGAGAAAGTTCAGTGTGTTGGATCTCACAGAACCTGCTTCCAATTTTTCCCTTTGCTGCTCCTCTTTTCTGAGTACCAGTTGCCATTGAGTCAACTCCCGCTCATGGTGACCCTATGTGTGTCAGAGCAGAACTGTGCTCCATAGGATTTTCAATAGTTGATCTTTCAGAAGTAAGTCACCAGGCCTTTCTTCTGAAGCTCTGTGGGTAGACTTGAACCTCCAGCATTTTGGTTTGCAGCCAAGTGTGTTAACCATTTGCACCACCCAGGGACTCCTATCAAGTGATAACTGGGCTGGATTTTAGGCTTCAGCTTCCATGTTCTCCTCCCACCCAGCCCAACCTAGCCTTAATCTCCCTGTTTTCTTCCTCAGAGTGAAATGCGCTTCCGGAAATCCTAGGGAGCTGTCCTGCTCCACCTCACAGCACCAGCTGCTGGGATAACTCTGACTGAAGTGATGGGCCATTTGCAACATCATCTAGGATAAAGTACAGCAGCCACCTCATTACAGGCACCTCTGTTATCTGCTGCCTCTACGAATGTGTATGCATGTGATGCTGCTCTCCCAACTTCTTCAGAAACCAGAAGTGTCAACTCTTCTTGAAATCTCAGTCCCAGGCTGGATACCAGCTGTAGATATCAGTTTGGGCATTGTGAATGTTCCAACAAGGAATGACAGTCCATAGTTGCATGAAGGAGGTGGAGGCCAAACAAGACCAAAGAAGGGCCTGGAAAATGACTTCAGGAATTCTTGCTCTTCTGGCCTTGACCTGGAGATTAGCTCAGAATAGCTAGACAAACCTGTACCCATGTGACATCATGGCTATCCTGTGACTGATTAACAGGTTTTGTTGGACTATCAGCTTCTCAGTGCTGGGACTGTCCTTAGTAGAAAGATGCTCCCATTTGTGTTATAAGCATCCTGCATGTACAGACCTCCTGCTGGTGCCATGGATGTCAAGAGCTGGGCTGTGGTGTGGTTGTCCAGGTGAATGACTATGAAAAGGGCTAACTGGACTTGTCTGGTCACAGGTTGTTGGGGTGTATTTTATTTTATTTTTATACTTTAAATATAGAAATAGGTATATTTTTAAAGATCCTCCTTAAAGTCCAGGAAACTTGAAAGCTAGCATCAATCATTCTAAGAACTCCAGAGAACTCACAGGAGTTACACTGTGCTGGAGTCTTGTGGAATGTTCCAGGCCCTGGCTAGGAAGAGCCTGGGTGAAGGGACTGGACAAAGTCCTCAAGCTGGACATCTCCCAAGTCAATTCAGTCTCTGGGGTTCTTTGAGATACTCAGGGAAAACAATCCTCATTTGGGCTGGCAGGCAAGTCCTACACAAAGAAACCCATATACCACAGACACTGTTGCTGCCTCCATGGGCTGGAACCAGGGGGTGAAGAAATGGATGCTGCTCCTGCTTGGGCTCCAGGCATTCTGGGAAAATCCACTTGGACAGGAACCCTCAGGGGTACTCAGGGGTTGTTTTGGCTCCTGAGATCTTGGAGTTTCTTCTCGGCTTTCTACATCTGTCAATTTCTCCATCGTTCCTGAAACATAGCACTGGTGCAGAAACTGCCACTGAGAAGAAGCTATCTCACACTGTCCCCAGGCCTTCTGAAGAATCTGAGTTGGCCCTGCAAGCCCTCAGTGTACTTGACCTTATCACCAGTCAAAGGAAGGCCTGAGCCTTCCTAGCCTTTTTTCTGGCACACCTATTCACCCCAGTCCCCTTAGCTTCCTTGGGCTTGTGTGGGCCCCTTGTGGTGCTATGACTCCTCAGGCAGGACCCAAGGAGATCCACCTCAGCCCAGCCATCAGGCAGCCTGGTTACAGGCAGCTGCTTGGGGCCAGGGGATGGGGGGGGGCAGTGGACAGGTGGAGGAGGAGAGAGGCTGCCCCTGAAGAGCAGGCTGGAGTTGGCTAGAGTGGCTGGGCAGAATCTGAGAGGGCTGGTTACATTGGTACAGGAGGGGAGGCAACGTTCATGTCCACAGTAGCGCCCCCCCCAGCAATGGTCTTCAGCAATAAAAGTTGTATGACCTAAAGAATTTGTCATTGGATGTTTTACTGACACCCATGGTAGAAAATTGAGATTGCCCACCCAGGTGTCCAGACATCCTCAGTTTTGATTTTTAATTTTGGCTCTTTAGTTTGGGTTCTGTTCAATTGATCATTCATCTATCTATCTATCTATCTACCTATCTATTTGTCAACCATACCAGTGCCAACTCTAGGCTGATGGTGGGGCACAAAGAGCATGGTAGTGTTCTCAAGGAACTCATGGTCCAGTGTAGCAACAGGAAAGTAAGCACACAGTTCTGATTCAGGGTGATGGAAGATATTGTTGAGTGTGGGGATTCGGTACTTAGAACATCGAGAAGAAGCCACCAGCCACACCAGCCTAGAGAGATCAGGGACGTCTTCAAGAAGAGGTGAAGTGTACAATGAGTCTTAAAGAACTGACAATGTTCACAGGCAGACAAAGGGCAGGGGGACAGACCTTCCAGTGCCTGCCCTTTTTCTCCTCCTTCCTCTTTCTCTACCTCTGCCTCTGCTAACTCTGCAATAGGCATGTTTATTAGCAAGTCCCAGTGCTTACTCAAGGAGCTCTGGTAGCATAGTGCCTAAGGTATTTGACTGCTAACCAGAAGGCTGGCAGTTCAAACCCACCAGCCGCTCCTCAGAAGGAAGATGGGGCAATCTACTTCTGTAGTGATACTGCCTTGGAAACCCAAGGAGGGGTCGCTATGAGTCAGGTCTGACTCGAAGGTACACAACAACAACAACAATGCTTACTCAACTATTTTCAATGGTTAGTCCATTGGCCTCTTCTGAAGGACCTACCTCTCCTTGCTCTGCTCTTTCTTTTCCTAAACTAAATATATTAACTATGACCATTGTTATCTCACTGATGAATACCCAGCAAAGCCTGCTTTTGCTCCCAATACACTCATTCCTCTAGCCACAAACACAGAATTCTCCAGGTTTGTCCCCATGTGTCTGGCCTTTGGGAACCTCAAGTTTGTTTGCTTTAGTCTCTCATACGAATGTCAGAGGAAGTCCTTCCTCCACTTCCATTTTTCTTCCATCTGTACAAGAAGGTATAAGGGGAGGGGAGAAGTAGATATCATGCTTACTATATTAGTAGTTGGGGTAACATTTAACTACTATAATAAGTGGACCCCACAATTTCAGTGGTTTAACTCAATACAAGTTTATTTCTCATTCACACACAGTTCATTGTGGGTGTTCAGATGCATAGCAAGATTTCTTCCACATGATTTTTCAGTAACTTCTGTTCTTTCTATCTTATTTATAACTTTGTCATCCTCATTGGCATCTGATTACAGCCAGGGGAAAGAGGGAAGGAAACATGAAGAAGGCACACTCACTTCTTAAATGCTCTGGCACCAAAGTGATATACAACATTTCCACTCATATTTTATAGGTGAAAACATGTTACACGGCGTCACTTCGATGAAGTGGGGCTGGGAAATATGGTGCTTGGCCTGTTCTGATGACAACTACAACCTGCTTGAGAGAGAATTCATTTTGGAGGACCACCAGCCACCTCTGCCCACCAGAGGAACTCTCAGATCCCCATAAGCCAGGCCTTGGGGATGAGAGTTAGGGCTTTGGCCGTTTCTGTTCCTTTCTTCTTAGAAATCACTTTTTTCTTTTCTTTCATGTTTCCTAGGGTATAAGTGGATTTGCAATATAAGTCGGAGGCTTAAACCCAACAGAACTCTGTGGAGAAAGGTGTGGCACAGCTTTGGTAAAGTCACAACCTTGGAAACACTTGGGGCACTTCTACTTTATGCTATAGGGTTGCTATGAGTCAGAATCAACTCAATTCTATAACAATGGGTTTTGATTTTTTTCTTTTTTTGGTTTTAGATTGCAAGATGGGAGTGAGGGGGGAGGCAAGGGACCAAGGTAGAGGAAAAGCAAGATCTAGAAAAGAAAAATACATTTCTTTAGACCAGGACATCTATTCCAGATGCTGTCACATGGACTCCTACAACTCCTGGAGACCTCAGGTGTGTCAGAGTAGAACTGTGCCCCACAGGGTTTTCAGAAGCAGATTGTCAAAGCTTTCTTCTGAGGTGCTTCCAGGTGGACTCGTACCTTCAACCTTCCAGTTAGCAGCTAAGGGTGTTACCCTTTTGCACCACCCAAGGAATTCAGAACATCTATAGAGGCTACAGAAATCATAGAACAGAGGTGGTGGGGCTTCCCAACTGGTCCAGGGTCTCCAGGGAGATGGGGGGTGTTGTGGAGAGGAGTTTCTGGTGATTTTCTCATGGTCCTTGGATCCCAGACTTCTCCAGGTATCAGTAAATTTTCTGACTTTGTCAATTCCATTGATTGATGAATTTCCATGGAATTTCGCTGGGGAAGAAGGGGAGAGTGGAATGAGTGTGTTGGGGGTGGGAAATATGATGGCTCTTTGGAGAAGGAGCCAGTTACAGCCTAGTTGTGAATCCAGCTGCCTCTGGGTCTTGGTTAGATTCCCAAGGGCAATTGTGTCCCATAATTGCTCAGTCCTTATCTCAGTGCAGTTGGAGGACATTGGGAGATGGATATTGAGAGCTCCTAGTACCGATGATGATGATAATGATGATGATAATAGCTAGCAGTTGCCTAGTGTTTGCTATATGCCAGATGCTGTGCTAAACACCTGATGTATATTATCTCCTGTAAGCATAATAATCCTATGAAGCAGACATTGTTATTACCCATATTTTAAAGATGAGAAAACAAAGGCCAAGATAAGTAAAATCAATTTCCCAAAATTAGACAACTACTAAGTGGCAGGGCTGGACTTTGAATCCAGGCAGTCTGATTTTAAAAGCTGCTTTCCAAAGTCAGGTAGAACCTTCCAAATTGTGACCTCATAGGGTCTGCCATCTGGTTCTGTGTATCTTTCCATTCTCCACCCTAGGCCTCTGGTGTGGGAAGGACAAGGTAAGACAACTCCCCAGAGGAGGCTGGGCACACCCCTCAGAGTGTCACAGGAATAAAGGCTATGGGAGGAGGCTCCCTGACACCTCGCCTACCCTAATCCCAAATGCCTGGTTCCTGGAAGGCCCTCCCACGCCATGACAAGCTGTCAGCCCTGGAAACCTCCATGTCACCTTGATGTGGGTGGGTAGCTCTGAGAAACACATGTCCCTCATTCTCTACCTCCTCTGCACTGGTCCAGTCTTCCTGTACCTTGGAATAGCTACATCCAGCCCAGGAAGCAAATGCCACATGGTTTTACAATGAGTCCACCAGAGGAAAGGGAGGACCATGCTCTGGAGAGAGCAGCCCTATATCATCCAGGTAGGAAGCTCTATTGGATGAGTCTTCTAAGAAAAGTAAGTGTACTAACCACAGCTCAGCTCCTTC